AGAGAGAGAGAGAGAGAGAGAGAGAGAGAGAGAGAGAGAGAGAGAGAGAGAGAGAGAGGAGTTTTACTTCCCTTTTCCTTGCTTATTGCCGCGTCTTTTCCCTCTTCTTTCGATCATCGTCTTGTCTGCTTTTTTTTGCCCAGCAGAGAGACTCTGCTGTGAATCGTCAGAGAACATAAAGCGGACATAGTTGGAATGATGAAGGAGGATATGATGCAGGAGGCAGATGGGCGGAGCAGCTCCTGTAGGAGGAGAAGGAGAGATACGGGTAAAAGTGCTGCGCGAAGGCCAATCAGGAGTTGTGCGCTGTTGTCCTTCCCGTGTACAAAGGCGGCGGGGGGTTGTTGGGGGTGGGGGGCGGAAGAGAGGAGTAAGGGAGGTGTGTGAGAGAGTAGAAGGGGAGAGAATGGAAAACGATTAAAGTTGTGGAAAGGTTGTCACTTTTTTTYYTTTTTTCCTTTTTTCCTTTTTTTTCCGTTTTTCCTTTTTTTTTYYTTTTTTTTTTTTTTTTTCTTTTTTCCTTTTTTTTCCYTTTTTCCCTTTTTTYYTTTTTTYCTTTTTTCYTTTTTTCCTTTTTGGAAGTTTTTTCCTTTTTTCCTTTCTTTTTTCTTTTTTCTTTTTTCCTTTTTTCCTTTTTTCCTTTTTTCTTATTTTGGTCCGTTCACGGTGTCATTATCCTGTGTGATAAGGAGAGATGGTGGCATGGGAGGGGATTTTGTTATGGTAACTGTGGTTATGGAAAAAGTGAGGAAGGGGAGAAGGGAGAAGTGCAAGAGAGTAGAGAGAGCGATCGGGACGATGGGCCCTGCCTCCTCTTCAGGAGAGACGGGTGAATATTATTGTTCTGCGCGTGTTCTTATTCTGGCTAGGTTGAGATGGCGGAGAGGTGGAGTATATATCAATATATATCAACGCCTTTTGGCTGTGTGCAAGTGGGTCGATATGACACACGGGGGGGGGGGGCAGCCGCCGCTCAACCTACATCCATGTGGGCGGCCGTGTACGCAAGGGGAGGTTCTGAACAGGGGGAGTTGTAAGGAAGAAGATTTAAAAAAAATGAATTTATTTTTCTTTGTTATCTTTCTGTTTTCTTTTCGCTTTTTCGCTCTGATAACTTTGTGACAATGCCCCCATGCCCACTCACCTTTCTGTGGATGCAGAAAGGACGATGGCAGGTTTCCCGGCCTGAGCCATCGGGCCTAAAGTCCTGCTTTCCTGGG